TGCACTGGGGTCCGAGCGAGGCCCACGACTTTGCACCACTCTGCCAAGTCCTGGGACTGAGTTGTTTGCTTTCCCAGGTCACGGGAGTGGGGGATTCCTGGCCTCGTGCCCGTCCAGCCACGCCCGCCGGGTACAGGAATTGCAAAGCGCCTCCGCGGCGGACTCTGCCCTCGCTTGCCCCAGCCAAACACTTATCCCATGGCAGGAGCCTGGTCTCCCCTTCCACCGGCTCCCCCAGCCCCTGCCCCTCCGCAAAGAATTCAGGGTCAGATCCTCAGCTCGTGGGATCAACCCAGCTCCCTCGGCTTAGTGGAGCAAGGCTGATTAACACCCGCCGGGCATCAAGCCCATAATCTGAAATTGGCAATGACACAGAATAAAGAGTGGGCCAAGCGTGTCCCTGTTGTAATCCCCCTGCAGAACTTGGCCCGGCACAGGGGCTGGGTTCAATACTCCACAGGGCCAATCCAGCGAAAACAACCTGTTGAGTCCAATGGGAGTTTTGCTCCAATAGGGACCGGAGTTTGGCATCATAATTAACAATCCGAAATTATTCATGTCGCGTTCTAGTCCTCAGAGACCTGCTCTGGTCCACGACCCCGGCCAGCCGAACAATGGCTTGCAGCGTGTGTGCCAGGAGAAGGAAAACAGTTTCTCTCCCTGCAGCGCGCGGTCACTCCAGTCTGCCAGGTCCACGCTGAATCTGGCCCCAAATTCCCCCAAGACATTTAGGGGCTGATAACCCCCTCTGGCCCGGCTCGCCATGCAGTTTGACCCCGGTGCAAAGTGAGCGTGAAACACTCCTAGATCCAATGGGGGCAGCGCTCCCCTCACACTTGGGCGGCAGGCCCCCTTCCTCAGCCTCACGCATGGGGCAGATTCCAATCTTAGCTCCCGGCATTGATCCGGAGTCACTCCGGAGGAGGGGAGGAGGCATGGTCACAGCAGGGTGCACAGGAATGGAATCGGGCTTGTGGGTCTGGAGACTTTTACACACACACACACACACGCACACACACACACACACAGAGTATCTGCACTAGGGAGACAGAGACCACCCCCCACCCACACACACACCACACACACACTGTATACATACTGGGGACTCACACACACAGTGTATATTGGGGAGTGTCTGTCTGTCTGTCTGTCTCTCTCTCTCTCACACACACACCACACACACATACACTGTATTCGCACTGGGGACTCACACACACACAGTGTATAACATTGGGGAGTGTGTCTGTCTGTCTCTCTCTCACACACACATACACACACTGTATACGCACTGGGGACTCACACACACAGTGCGGGTAGAACACTGGGGACACACTTTGCTTCTCGGCACGAGTATCACTTTGGGAGACGCGCGCACACACAGTGTATAACATTGGGGAGTGTGTGTGTCTCTCTCTCTCACTCACACACACACACACACACACACACACACACACACCCTCTTCTGCTCCACGATCCACTCAGCCAAAACCTGTGGTGCCAGGGGGCTGCAGGAGAGGGGCTGGGTCCCGCTTACCTGCCAGAGCTGTCAGCGTGCCCCAGGCCCAGAGCAGGACAGGGACAGGTTGTGCCATGGCGCTGAACGCAAAGTTTTCCTGGGGGCTCTGGGGCCGGATCCCTCCCTGGGGAGCAGCCGGGCTCGTCCTGTGGGGAAGGCAGGGCGCTGACTGAGCTGTCCGGGAGCTGCTTTATATGTTTAGAGAAGAATTCAGTGCAGTTCCCGGAAGCCCCGGCCCTTCTGGGCTGGCTGAAGGAGGGGATTTCCAGCCTTGCTTTGTCAGAGGGACTTTTGATTTTCTAAGGCTTTCCATGGCGTGGTTTCCCAGGGAAAGGCACACAGCCCCCCTCCCAGACCCGGTGCCCTCCAGGGGGGCTGGCTTGCTTGGGACGGAGCCCTGGCAATTGATTATGTGGCAACAGGGACAATACAGGGGCTTACCCGTCCCGCACTGCCAGGATTCCCAGTCCAGTCGTGCCCCCCAACCCTGCACACACGCTGCACCAGGGCCTCACTGGCTATGGGACCGGGGGTACCGCCCCACCAGACCTTGGTTCTCTCCCCCCTCCCCGACTTTTCATAGCTCTATGCTCCACTTCCCTCTCCCCCCATCGCAGATAGTGGCCTAGATGCTGACACAACTCTCCTCACCCCCTGCACTCGCTCCAGAGGGGATCACACCCCACAGCAGGGGCCCGGAGCCTCCTCACGATCTAGGGAGCCCAGCTCGAGACAGACCCGTTTACACTGACTGCCAGAGGCCCAGTGCTCGGCGCTGGCTGGGAACCCTTCGAAGTGTCTGCCTGGGCGTCCACAATCAACAGCTGCTTCTGCAAACTGTCCGCACAGCTGGGGCGATCATGGCTGAGACAGAGAGA